GGATGAGGGGGGACATTGTTTGATTTCTTGACTGCTGCTTCCATGAGTGTTGATGGTTGATCCAAGAAAAATGAAGTCTTTGGCAACTTCAATCTTTTATCTGTTGATAAGAATGTTATTTATTGGTTCAGTGGTGAGGATTTTTGTTTTCTTTACATTGAGATGTAATCTATACCAAAGGGTGTGATTTTTCAACTTCATCAGTATTTGAAGTCCTCTTCACTTTCAGCAAGTAAGGTTGTATCATCTGCATATTGCAGGTTGTTAATATACAAAAAGATTAATTTTGTGGTTGAGACAAATGAAAATGTTTACTATGAAGAATAAATCTACAAAATACTAAGATTTATGTTATAGAACAAAATTATCAAAAAGAACAATGAGGGTCAGTCAAAAGGCAATGAATTCAAATAACACCCATTCACTAAAGCAAACTCTTTGTTTAGTGAACTTAAGGCATGTAATAGAATAGTAAAGATTATGAAAATAGATATTAAATATAAAAATTTTACCTGTACATAAACTCAATTTAAAGAGCTCTAGTAGCATAGTGGTTACGAGTTGGGCTGCTAACCTCGAAGTCAGCAGTTTGAAACAACCAGATGTTCCATGGGAGAAAGATGAGGCTTTTGCTCACATGAAGATTTACAACCTTGGAAACCCTATATAGGGTCAGTATGAGTCAGAACAGACTCCACTGCACACAATCACCACTATCACCACCAAACTCTATTTGCCATGATAGACAAATGTAAAAGTAACAGATTTGAGTAAAGTCCAATGACCTTGAAATACCTTGGGAACAGCTGTCTTCTGTTTCTGTCTACTTGTTGTTGTTAAATACAGTCTAATTGGTTCCTGTATAGGGTTTCCAAGGAGTGGCTGATGAGTTTGAACCACCAACCTTGTGGTTCAAACAGACCTTGCGGTGCAGTGCTTTATCCCATAGTGCCACAACAGGACTCCTTCTACCCACTATGGTCTTTCTATTTCAAGTCCGAAAGGAATGTTTCAATTCCTTTCGTCTGTGACAAATGTGTTTATAGTTAAAGATAGTAAAGTTTGGCTGATTTTGATAGAGTTCTGAATGA